GCACTGTATCAAGAAGAAGTTTTCTCGTGTCTCGTTCACCAATCACAAACACATGGGAAACAAATTGGAAGAGTATGACTCAGATTAACACAAACCTGAGAAACAGACTTGTGAGCATCAGCATCAATGGCTGCCACAGTAGCAACACCTTTCAAAGTATTAGCAACCTTCTCCCAAATTGGTGTTAAGGATTGACAATGACCACACCATGGCGCAAAGAACTCAACCAAAACTACACCATTCGAATTAAGAACCTACCAACCATTTCCACAGAGAATATTAGCCAAAATAACACCTCACATATATCACTACATAGCGCCTCATAATCCATGAAAAACAACACAATCCATTCAACAACCAATAAAATCAACTATTTCATCAGTAGCTACCTTCGGAAGGATACAAGACTAACATATTATGAATTGAGATTTCATCAGTCATGGAGTTAAGCCGAATCTATACACTGCGAACGAACAAATTGAGGGAAAAAAACAAAAACTCGACTATTGGGTAGATCATCTTCGCTTAGAGAAGAAATATGAATTCAGATAGAAATCGCGAAATCCACCGGAAAATCTCTCCGGCCACAAACAAAAGAGATTAGAGACGGAGATGGCATTTACCTTGGACTTGAAATTAGTAGGAGTGAGCTGAAGCACCGGAGAAGAAGATCCGTAGAGAGCATTTCCGAGATCGAAGAAGACAAACAAGACAGAGAAAATCGTCAACAACGTTAATGGTGATTTGTACATTTTTCTTTCCCCTTTTCTCCAACCAAAAAAAAAAAAAAATGACACACTCTCTCTCTCCCCCTCTATGCGAAGCAGAAGAACTAAAAACACTACCTACGTGGACTTACGTGTAGGCACCAATAATATTATAACACGTCAGCATAACAACATGCCTACCTAGGAACATAATAAAAAAAAAGGAAATGACAATGCACTTGCGAGAGCTTCACACACGTGAGAGTATCCGGTATGATCGTTGAATATTGAGCGGGAAAAGCATAATAATTAATATTAGTCACCGATTTGTTTGCAATTCTCAACGATATTCCATTATCTTTTTTAAT